CACTTGAATCAGTCACAACGCCGATAGGTACACTCCGACGCAATACGTACAGTGAGATACGAATGTATTCGAACGCCTTTCAAAACGGAATAATTTTTTTATAATTGTGTTAAGGGACATACATATCGTCAAGATGTTAGCGGAATTAGTTTACTAGACAATAGCTAAAAAATTGGCGAAACTTCCCGCATGCATATAAGTTATCGAGATCTACAAAACGCATTTTTTTAAATTTTCGTTGTAGGCTCGAATGAAGAAGTTAAAAACCGAGAGTTTTTTCTTTTTTTCGTTATTCCAATCAATTGCAATCTTTGAAAGCAATTATTTAATCATTGTCTAGTGAACTAACATCTCAAGGAAATTTAGATCGCTCGGCTTAATTATAAATAGGCGTTCGAATACTTTCGGGTCTCGCTGTACATATTTAGATATAAATTTTATGCTTTCGACATTGCGTAATGAAAACTGAAATAAGGTGACATTTCCTGCTGGAAATAATTAAAAGTGAAATGGAACTGTCGATAGGTTTCGTTTCGAAATACGTTTCGATCTATTTTCGAACTTCCTCGTGCCACGACTGTCCCACAGCTGAGACGGTGTACCGAGGCAGAATCTTTTCAATTTCGAAAACATCCTCGTTCGAAAGGAGATGGAACTTCAAAGTTATCGATACAGTTCCGGTGGTCTCCGTGCAATAGTCGTTGAAAACGCGCCGCAAAAGCTCCTCAGCTTCTCGTGGAAGCCCGCGCAAGTATCGGCAAACATGGTCTCGTCTAGGAGGACAGTTTATTGCTTGTACAAATAAGTCTTGAGGGCATTTTGTCCAAACAATGGCGAGGGCCCGTGACCGATCCGTAAGTCACGTCTAGCAAACGTGACGGGGGTTTTATCGAGAGCCCATCGACCGGGGCAAATTAAACAACAGCTTCTCCTTATGCGGCGTCTTTATCCTTTTAAATTGAGACGCCTGCGAAAGGAGCGTTCGGCTAGCCGTTATTCCGGCACGTGGTGCTCGGATAGTTCTTCGTTTGGCAAGCACTCTGTCTCTCTCTCTCTCTCTCACTCTCTCTCTCTCACTCTCTCTCTCTCTCTCTCTCTGAACCCATTTCCGCACTCGATTCTGCAGCCCTCCGGCCCTCCCTCAGCCTCCTCGCGACATTAGAAGAGGACCTGTAGCATTCCTATCGCCGATGCCAGACACGCTCGCTCATAAACGCTGGCTGCGGATAATTGCCCTTGAGTTCGCATCTCCTGGCAACCATGCTCTCCCTAATTTCGACGTTAAATATCGCGGTTCTTTATACATTCGGTGTACCTGTTGAAAAAATTCGTCGAGCTGCTATTCTACGTTTGCACGCCCAACATCGAGGCGATGCCAGCGTTTCGTTAACCGGTTAGCTGTGTTTGACGAGTATACTCGTCATCGCTTGATTCTCGCGACACGTATAGGTGTCGGCTCTGAAAAGGAGACGTCACAGCTAACTGGTTGAATATAATATAAGCAGAACAGAAATATTTTACTATCAATATGAACGTTCTTGTTTAGATTTTACGAAGCTTCATCTAAATGTCATAAAAACTGCAAATTTAGATTCCACGGTTTAGCCGTGAAGAATTTGTTAAAGTGGATAATTTTTAGCGACTGGCGGGGCGCTGTTAGCCTATCAAGAGTCTAAAAGAAACGACCGTGTCACATTCAAAAGTGGGTTCTTCGAATTGAAGAATTTGATGCAGCTTCCGGAAAATCTCATCTGGCTGTAGGAAATATTTCAAAAATTCCTGCCCGGCGGTTCAGCCACAAGAAGTCCGTGTAATAGAGCTAGGTTCGAACGATCGACCGGGTCCAACTTCTTTACCGAACCAATTGATTAGTTCCGACTTGGCTAATGAAGTTTTCGACGCCGGTAATCGACGCTTTAATGATATTCGAGCGTTGCATTAATCACGGAAAGGGATCACGAGGGCTGGCACGGCGTATGACCACGACCGAGCGATTCTACTTGAGAGTGGAATTTTTCAGCAAGCAGAAAGTTGGTTGTTCAAATATTTGGAACAAGGTAAACTAGAAGGCTGACGCCTCTTATTTTAATAGGAGATCCCTCGGGTCCACCGGCAGCCGCCTGTCCCGGGATCCTCGGGTCGATGCTGTTAGGAGCTTAGAACGTTCCCTTCCGTTTGTTTCGCGGCGGGGAAAAATTCTGGTTAATCCGAGCTCCGTGCAATTCCGGCCTGTTTCCGTCCCGCTCGCCCCGGATTATCGAGATCCCGGCGCACGGATATCCGGGGTCGTCGGTCTCTCTCTTTCTCTCTCTCTCTCTCTCCTGCGACGCGTATTCTCCTCGGTCCGCTTCTCACGATCCCGCGGACCAACGTGGGACGACAAATTGCGTCTTTGTTCGGACCAAGATCCTCGCCCGGATCTATCGCTGGAAAATATTCGCAACGTCGACGGACATTTTGCAGCGATCAATTCCGGGCACAACGTGGCTCGGTCTCGAGAATTTTTCACGTTCAAGCAAGCGAAACCACAATTCGCTGCAGCTGCGGGTGTTTCACGCTGGTCCGCAAAGTTCTAGGCTCTTTCGAGGAGCTGTAAGCTCAAGCCTTGGACGGTGGGGTAATTTCGAAGCTGTTGTTTCGGCTGAATTTTTAGCATCGGTTGAATTGTTGCCAGTTTCACACGATTCCGGCAAGTTGCGGCTGGAAATTGAAGCCGGAGTCAGCGTCCAAGGTTTTACCGCTTCAAGGATCGGTTAGGAAATTTCGTTTCTTTTTCCCATGCGGAATAAGTTTAAAACATCATTTTGGGCAGACTGAGATCTTTTGGAAGAGATCGAAATCAATTCTATCATTATCTGATTTATGTAAAATTCTTTGGTCGATTCGATATCGAGGAGCGAATTAATAGCACACGCACTCTAGTACACGCGAAACCAGTTGGTTCTCACGCGATGTTATTTCATAAAGTTTAACAATTCTCGTCTGCCGATGTAGCACAGAACTACCGACTGAACAAGTTTCATTATATTACCCTAGGACAATAGTATCACCTCTAGGTACTCGTGAACTCTGGGCTAGGTGCACAATAAAAAAGAAACTGCTCATGCCAGCGAAATTACACGTCGAAGTTGAAACTCTCTAATGTTTGTCATGTCGTTTTAATGGAATTAGCGAAGACATTCGTGGACCATGCGATTTGAGCAAGAAGTAATATTATTTTTCCTAGATCGTTTGTCTGCGATAGAAATAATACGATTGCAGGAACGATCCGTTATTTCGAGTTGCCAATTTCTTGTTTTTATTTCGAAGAAAAATTGCCCGAGAGGAGACAACGAAGGGAAAATATCGGGCAACGTTATTCTTGTATAAAATAACTGACGAAGAACTATTTATTTGCAATTGTTCGTATCGAGAACTTTATTCAATATTGGAATCAAATAGATCATTCGCTGCGTGAACGACAGATAATTACTTACAAAGCGGCGCTTTGTTTCGGGAAACAAAAGCGAGAGACTTCTCTCGAATATCGATATCGGAGATCATTCGGTAAATTAATTTCCGAAAAGATTTTGTCAAGTACGATCAATCATTTGCTTCGTCGGGCAGAATAATACGCGATCACTTCGAAATAATTCCTGGCAAAACTGTCGTCGACATGTTGCTTAAAAACTTGTTTTCCAAGTGGAAACCATAAGAAAGATAGACAGAAATATTTATTGGCGGTCGCACGCGACCAACATGGCAATGCTGCCAGCTAACGCATTGCGTGCCACGTCATTCGTGTACGAATGACACCAACTTTTTCTGCGGGGTTGCGTCATTCATGCGTATCTGATGCGTATATTCAGCTAAAAATACACACATACGTATAACTCACACCCAAGTGCACGTAGAAAACAAATTCCATTCGATTAAGATGCACGAATATTTTTTTATATGTCAAGTCGCCATATTATTTTACATTCCAAGTTAAAAACTGCTTCGGAAAGAAGTTATTGTTTTGAAGAGTATTAAAACCATTATTCCAGTACGCGGTGTCCGATGATAAATTACAATTGACATCTTTTTCGAAGCAAGTTCAGCATCTTCTTTTTTTATCATTGAGAGTAATATGTACATCTACTTCTAATCATTGATATAATTTACATCGTCTTCAAAAACATCCCTTCTTCCGTGCATTAAGTTTTCCATTGGAATTTCGAATCTTTTGACATCTAACCTTGGTTGACTCGATCTCTGAAGCTCTTGTTCGATATTCTAAATTAATAGATATAATATAATAAATACTCTAAAATATCTATTCTTTGCTTAACACGTTAAACGCGTTAATTTTGCTCGGTGCTGATTTTTCTGAGTTTTCCGTTGAGGCGGCAGGCATTATTTTTTAACCTTGATGCTGTCGATCCCATGCATCAATACCGTCCAAATGATAGGTTCTTTGTCAGTCCTTGGGAACCGACGCTGCCCAAAAAAGTACACTGTCAGTCCACTTGGACTGGCGTCCAACAAAAAGTTCACTATCAGCCCCAGAGGGCTGATGTGCGCTCAACGATCTAGTCAGGACTGTCTTAAAATCCTTAAAAAAATCTTCAAAATACGCTACAACTAAAAGATTTGCAATTAGAGAGCTAATCGATCGCGTCTCGAAATTCAATTCGAACAATGTCCACGTCAGGAAATCAAGGTGGTATAATGCGAGGTATCCTTGAAGGGGTAGACGGGTAAGAAGCGGGCCGAGGGTAATCCGGACTTAACGTCGGGGGTTGGTACCGGTGGGGGGCTGTGATTGTTCTGACTGGTTTCCCTGATCCGTAGATGCCGGTCGAGCGGGCTAAACGGCGAAGACCTATCCGTCGCGATTAATCGGCGACCGCGCGGGCTGGTCGATCGAGATCGAGATCGGGATCGAAATCGAAAACGAAATCGAAATCGGGATCCGTACCGGGATCGGAAGTAAAGGCGGCTGAAAATCGAGTTCGCTTGTGGTTCGTTCGGTTCAGTTGTCGTCGTCTCTGTCTTTGTCGTCGTGGAGAACAACGACCAGCCGCGGCGGCTGGCCTCAGGCCAATAGAGGTCTAGCTGAAAAGGGTGAACGTGAAAACCAGGTGGAAAGTGGGGGTGGTGGACCGAGGAAGGGATCGGTACACGGTGCACGGTGAACGGTAACGCGCGAAGAGCCGAGAACGAGGAGGAAAATCGGCTGTGGAACCGGATAGAGGAAGAGCGATTGTACCCGCCGCGAGTGACAAACTATACGTACGAGAGAGTGATTAAAAAAAAAAGAAAGAAAAGGGTGAATAGTTCTTACGGTTTTTTCGTCGGCGGTTGGATTCCGTATTATCGTGTGACAAGATGCGCTCGCGACGCCGTGACGGTGGTTGAACGGCCAACGACACGAGTGGCTCGTGCAGCCCTCGATTCCGCCAGAAATCTCGCTTTCGAACGCCTTCAAACGCCTTCAAGCCTTGAAGAGGCTGCACGCACCGCACTCCTGCCCCGGTTCGTCGCTTATCTCCTCGGCTGCGTTCGTCCGACACGCGGAACAGGTGAGAACAACCCCTTCATCCTCTTCTACTTTCTGTGAACTCGCCGGGAACTTGCCGGAAACTAACTTGCCGAGCCTCTACAGTCGCTACCAACCCTACAAGCCTACCAGTTTCGCTCGGTGCGCACGGTTTTATGAGCGAGGTTTCGAGTTCTCCTTGAAAGATGAAGATTTTAGCTGATGTTTTGCAATTTAGTTCTGGGAAAAGGCTATTTGAAACAGTAAATAGCTGCTGTCGTAAATGGTTTTAGTATGATTGCCGACTGTGATTAAACTGCACTAGACTCAACCTAGAGCCGGCTGTGCGAATGCAAATCAAGCAGCAGGACGTAATCGGTAGACGGTTAAAGAAGAAGGTAGCTAATAGTAGATTCGTACACGGAAAGGTAATGGAAGAATAAATAGGATAAACTCGGGTAGATCTGAGCAGCTAGCTTAGAAGGGATTAGAATTTCTATATCACAATTATGAGTATCTTCCTGGTATATGAATTTCATGTTTTTTTTTCATTCTGTTTTATACACGATTTATTTTATTTGGTTTTCTATAGTCGTTTTTTTTTAAATTTTACTGTTCAATTAATTTAGGTTCCTACCTAAATTAATTTGAATTTCTCTCTACTCTCTATAGTTGGTTTAGGTTAATTTATATTCATCACTTAACTTGGGGTTCCACGTATAGTTGATTAGGGTTAAGTTTTACTAATCGTTCGATCTGAATTTCTATGGTGGGTTCGGGTTACCTTTAACATAAACCTACCTCTTAACATAAAATTAACGCTTTGTTATCTAGAGGATCGCTTTATAGTTGTTTGACAAGTGTCGACGAACACCACCGTGGTGTCATATTTGCAGCTAAATGATGAATCAAGTACAATTATAGAATTTTTGATCGGTCGCTGTACCCAACAGCACTTATTAGTAATGTCGTTGATAGATTCGTTAGTGAACACAAATTTTTGGTCCGCGAAACGCGAAGCCCTTTGTAAAACTGTCTTATGAACAGTTAAATGAATTAATCAAATTATTCAATAATTTCCGGTGGAAATATGTTTCTAATTTCAATAATAGCGGAACAATTAAAGCAGACAATGAAAGTGGACAATCTTCACCGTGAAAAATCCCCAGGCTGATCATGAATTCTAGTAGGATAATTCGGTATAGAGCGTCCCGTTGCCGAGGCCCGAGTAATTGCAGGCTTAATGCGGAACGAAATTCCGAATTAGCGGAAAAGAATTACGCGAGTTACACGGCAGAGCCTCGAACCGCGAAGTTTGGACACTTTCCCAATTCCTTGTCCGAGATACCGAACTCCGCTAATGGATGAACCCAATCTTTCCGCAATCCCTGCCGTTCGGCGTGGCTCTGTGTCAACTGAAGCCTTGGAGTGGTTCATTATTAAAGCCTACCTGCCGCGCTCCGGAGATACGAGGCCAGCTTTCGTCTCGAAGCCCAACTTTCCCAGGGGTCTCGAAACGTCTTGCCGTGTCTCGCGAACGTTCTTTCGAACCAACGAACCGAGATCGTTCGTAATAATTACTCGGTAATGCCGGGCCGTCGTTATAAAGTACGTCCGCAGGCACCAGAATGCGGCGTATTTTCGTTAACCTTTTGCTGGGAATTGTTCCAAGTGCGAGGACTCGCATCGCGAAAGAGTTACGAGCCCCGTAAATACTGCCGTTAAGTCCCGCGGGAATTATAATCATAATAATTTATCGGCGCTGGGTCTTCGTGGCGACTTCTTTGTTCGAGGACAACAATTATTTTGGGGGATGCTGCGCCGTGTGAACGAGTAAACTCGGACGAGCGCGATCAGTCAACAAATTCGAAAAAATTTCAGAGAGAAACTCCGAGACCGTGAGATCTGTTTTTAGGACAGCTTTAGTTTTTAGGTGGTATACGATATTGGCTGTTAAGGGCAATTAAAAATCTGAACCCTGTCTTTAAATATATTGTAAATCATCATTTTCGCTTCCTTCTATTTTATATTTATCTATTATATTTATCTATATATATTATATATATTTTATATATATATATATATATATATATATATATATATATATATATATATATCTATTTTCCTGCAATATCTTCTTCTTTACTCTGTGTTATTACTCTTGTTTATGTAATCTTGTCATCTTTTTGTATTGCCGCATCAGATACGAAAATTCCTATGGCAACAGCATACATTTTTTCTATAACTCTCAAATCTTCCGACATAATTTACACTATGTATTTTCGACTTCAATCACTGTATATTTGTCCTGAATAAATTAAATTAAATTAAAAAGTATATTCACGAAGAATTCTGAAATATTTTGAGAACTGCCATAGCTGTGCGATCAATGAAATAAAATCCTCCGCTTAACTATAACCGCTGTAACACTGCTTAAGGATTGTTCTATGGAACAGAATATTTTTGGAAGATCGATATCTCCTACCTGTTACACTCATTAAGAGGATTAACGGCATTCTTCGAGATTGTAGATGTAGGTTCAGAATTTCGGCTNTAAAACTGTCTTATGAACAGTTAAATGAATTAATCAAATTATTCAATAATTTCCGGTGGAAATATGTTTCTAATTTCAATAATAGCGGAACAATTAAAGCAGACAATGAAAGTGGACAATCTTCACCGTGAAAAATCCCCAGGCTGATCATGAATTCTAGTAGGATAATTCGGTATAGAGCGTCCCGTTGCCGAGGCCCGAGTAATTGCAGGCTTAATGCGGAACGAAATTCCGAATTAGCGGAAAAGAATTACGCGAGTTACACGGCAGAGCCTCGAACCGCGAAGTTTGGACACTTTCCCAATTCCTTGTCCGAGATACCGAACTCCGCTAATGGATGAACCCAATCTTTCCGCAATCCCTGCCGTTCGGCGTGGCTCTGTGTCAACTGAAGCCTTGGAGTGGTTCATTATTAAAGCCTACCTGCCGCGCTCCGGAGATACGAGGCCAGCTTTCGTCTCGAAGCCCAACTTTCCCAGGGGTCTCGAAACGTCTTGCCGTGTCTCGCGAACGTTCTTTCGAACCAACGAACCGAGATCGTTCGTAATAATTACTCGGTAATGCCGGGCCGTCGTTATAAAGTACGTCCGCAGGCACCAGAATGCGGCGTATTTTCGTTAACCTTTTGCTGGGAATTGTTCCAAGTGCGAGGACTCGCATCGCGAAAGAGTTACGAGCCCCGTAAATACTGCCGTTAAGTCCCGCGGGAATTATAATCATAATAATTTATCGGCGCTGGGTCTTCGTGGCGACTTCTTTGTTCGAGGACAACAATTATTTTGGGGGATGCTGCGCCGTGTGAACGAGTAAACTCGGACGAGCGCGATCAGTCAACAAATTCGAAAAAATTTCAGAGAGAAACTCCGAGACCGTGAGATCTGTTTTTAGGACAGCTTTAGTTTTTAGGTGGTATACGATATTGGCTGTTAAGGGCAATTAAAAATCTGAACCCTGTCTTTAAATATATTGTAAATCATCATTTTCGCTTCCTTCTATTTTATATTTATCTATTATATTTATCTATATATATTATATATATTTTATATATATATATATATATATATATATATATATATATATATATATATATCTATTTTCCTGCAATATCTTCTTCTTTACTCTGTGTTATTACTCTTGTTTATGTAATCTTGTCATCTTTTTGTATTGCCGCATCAGATACGAAAATTCCTATGGCAACAGCATACATTTTTTCTATAACTCTCAAATCTTCCGACATAATTTACACTATGTATTTTCGACTTCAATCACTGTATATTTGTCCTGAATAAATTAAATTAAATTAAAAAGTATATTCACGAAGAATTCTGAAATATTTTGAGAACTGCCATAGCTGTGCGATCAATGAAATAAAATCCTCCGCTTAACTATAACCGCTGTAACACTGCTTAAGGATTGTTCTATGGAACAGAATATTTTTGGAAGATCGATATCTCCTACCTGTTACACTCATTAAGAGGATTAACGGCATTCTTCGAGATTGTAGATGTAGGTTCAGAATTTCGGCTCGAAGGCTACCGGGATGGGTGGCGTTTAAGCGGATGTTTAGGGTCGTTTTCAGATACAAAGAAGCCATCGTCCTCTCCGGAAAGAGAGCGTGTAAGACTCGCTCTTGTCTCTTTGAGCGAGACCGCGGCTCGTGCGCCATAACCGACGCCAATTACTTCCGGTCGATGGAAGACCTTGGTTATAATTAGTCTTCGAACTTCCCGCGAGAATTCCCGGCAGCCCTAATCGAAAATTACCGAAACTGGTGCGCGCGGCGTTTCCCTCGGCAATTAGTCCGTCACAGTGGTACCGAGTTTCTCGAGAAAATATCGATCCGAGCCGATGAATCCGAACAACTGTGGCTTCCGGAATGGGTGGAATTGCCGTGGAAGGTAGCACTCGAAGAGGAGTAGCGGCCGAAGAAGACAGCGAAAGAGGCTAGCAGTCGCAGAAGGTAGCGAAAGAGGATGGTAGTTTGAGAGGGTAGCGAAAGAGGATAGCAGTCGAATAGGGCAGCAAAAGAGACGCACCCCGTGCCGGAAGACATGCATACGAAATCGGGCGAGCGTGTCTCGAACGACTTGCCGGGCGTTCAGCATCGGGAACGAACTATTGATCCCCCTTTAAAAATATCTGGAAATCGGCGTAATAATAGCCGAGGTTTCGGCCCGAAGATAAAGTGGAGCTCCTCGTCCTTGTTGTCCTGGCTGCCGCGACGAAAACATCACGCGACCATGCACCGCGACGAGCTCGGAACTCCCCCAGGAAGAAAACTCGCATTCCAGCGACTGTTGTCGCGATACAACCGAGAAAATTCGACCCTGTCGCGAGCTTCTCTATCGCCTTAGCTCACGGTGATTTATCTCGCGCGCGGGCAAGGTCCTTTCTTGCCGAGTTAGAAAGAGGACACGTGTGCGACGCCGCGTCTGCTGTCTACGGTCCCATTTCACTTTTCGTTTCCGCACGACGGACCTTCTCCCTTA